TTTATGAGGGGCCTATGGTCATCAAAATTCATTGCAGTAGTAAGTAGATGGTGGGTACCAGGAGCTGGGTGGAGGAGGGAATGCAGAGTTGTTTAACAGGCAGAGAGTTTCCACTTTGCAAAATTAAAGTGTTCCGCTGATTGGTTACAGAGCAATGGGAATGTATTCTACATTTATTCAATTGTACAGGTAAAAATGGCTAAGATGTAATGTCTTATGCTACATGTATTTTACCACAAACAGAGATAGATGATGGGTGGAAAGAGATAGATAGATAGATAGATAGATAGATAGATAGATAGATAGATAGATAGATAGACAGACTGATTCATTTGGGGAGAAAAATTCAGAATAGGTATACCAAAAAAATGAGGAAAGGACTGGGCAATTCCTGAAAGTTAGATAATTGCAATAAGCAATTTCCCTCTTGAGCCATGCAGTCTAACAGGAAGGAACCAAACTATGTGGTCCTGGGAAGCTCATCCTGACCAGGCCAGGTTCACTCAACACAGTCTTAAAGAGATTTGTTTTTGTCACAACAGCACACATAAGAGTGATGAGTGGGACTTGATCTACTACCTTCTGCCTCACTGGGAATCATTTTTAGGATTTCCGTGTAAATACTTTGAGATTAGCACCTACTGAGGCTCTGCAAGAGAGCAGAAGCATGAGGAGATGGTGAGACCCCTCCGGCAGTTTGTGAATTGTGTAGGGAGGTGAAAATTTCTTCTCCATTCATTGCAAGAATATTGATTGAAAGTACATCATGTGCTAGGGTCGGTTCCACTCTGGATCTTAGGATACAGCAATGACTATGACAGTGTCCCTGCACTTGTGAAGTTACGCTGCATTGTAGTAGAGGGAGACGAACATGCAAACATACAGAAATGTGATGTGTTGGAGAAGAGAAGTGTTGTAGAGATGAATTAAGTGCAAGGTGAGAAGGATAGAGCCTGATAGTCTGGGAAAGCTTTGCTGATAAATGCCTGTGTGTGTCTGGGAAAGAATATTCCTGAAATAATGGGGAGGCCAGCACGGCTGCAGCACAGGAGAGGCAAGGTGTAGAGCAGTAGAAGATGAGGTCTTAGAGGTTCAGGGGAGGTGGGGTTCCAGCTCTTGGAAAACCTCTGTAAGGATTTGAGCTTTTGCTCTGTGGGAGGTAGGAAGCCATTGACCAACGCTGAGCCAAGTGATGCCATCCAACTGGCTGTACCAAAGGTCATTCTGGATGTGGCCTTAGAAATAGAAGTGGGACATGCAGAAGAAAAGCAGAGCCCAGTTAGAAGGCTTGCAATCATCTAGAAGAGGATTGATGGGATGCTGCCAGGCCTGCTACTCACCCAGAAGGTACAGGGGAAGATAGGCAAGGACGACTCCATGGCAGGGACCTCAGCATCCGGCAGGATGATGTTGCTTTCTCTCTAAATGTGGAAGGCTGATGTGAGGGGAGTCAGGAGTCCTGCTAAGGAATAGTATCTTCAGAAGTCCTAAGTGACTTCAGGAAACCCCAGTCTCATTGTGAGCATGCAAAATAGCTGTTTTTGCTATTCTTCTTCTTTTTTTGGTACTATTTTCTTTAAAATAAAAAATTTAAAAAGAAAAATAACGTAGCTGTTGAAATGTTGACTATAAAGTAGCATGCATGTAAGTGAACATTATGCATAGATTTATCACTAGCTTGTGAGAACTGGGCAAAAGGCCTTACACAGAGTGTTCCATAGACCAGGAGCGCAGCAGAGCAGGGCAAACTGCTGGAAACATGACAGGGAGATAAGGGAAGACACCCGGCAGGGTTGGGATAACCCGGCAGTCATCTTAGAAGTGCGCGTCTGAAGGTGAAAGTGAGGCATCCTTGGGAGCAGTATCAGATAAACATGCCGAATGTGCAAATGCACCCATCAACTGTCCCTCTGCACCTGCCCGCCTGTGTTTCACACCACATACTCTAAGTTCAAACACCTGCACTTCTTACCCCTCTGTTCCTGGGCTGTACATTCCTAGAATCTCAGCTGGAAGAGACCTGAGGCAGTTTGGGGTCGGTTCCTCCTAACAGGAGTCAGGCAGGGGGGCAATGCCATTGCAAGACTACCACTCTTTCCTCCCTTCCTCAAGGAGATTTAGCAGCACATCTGTTTAATGGGCAATAGCCAGGAGGTAGCAGTCCACTTTGGGCTCTGCTCTGTTGTATGGAGGCGCCACTTTTTAACTCAAATCCTTCGAACTGTGAGTTCAGTTACTTCTCTTTATTCTCATCCCGTGGAAAAAATCGTTCTTACTCCTGTAAGGTAATGCTTTGTATCCCAAAAAACCACTAAAAGAACCCATCGGGATGTTCTCACAGACATGGCAATATTCATATTCACCAGGCACTTAAGTTGAATAATGTATCTCCTGGCGACAAGAGGGCAAGTGTATTCTGAGTGAAGAGGCCCCAGTGTCTGTGACTTCGGATCTGAAATCCACAACACCCAGCTGGCAGCTGTTGAACTGGAATTCCTCGTGCCTGTGGCGCCCAGGGCTGAGGGCGCTTCTCAGAGAGGCCTGTGTGCCATGGCTGTGTGGAACCTGTTGTCCTTTCTGACTTAGCATCGCCTGTGTGCAGGGGACAAACAAGAGCAGGTGTTCACATTTATCTTTCTCAAGTGGCCCCTTGAGGCCCTGTGGAGAAGGGCCAGGGTCAGGGTAGGAAGGGGCTCAAACAGAGCCTCCTTCCAGGCTTTCCCTGTGGCTGGCACATAGCTGCTTCTGACTATGTCTAAGAAAAACGTTAGGGTTCAACACAAACTATCTAATACAAGGAAGCGTGGAGCACTTCACTATCTTTGGAGATTTGCTTAAACCAAAGCGCTGGGACTTATTATCATCGCTGTGCAATTTTCACCTCCAAAAGCCTTGGCGTGAATGACCTATTTTGAAGGTGACGGCCAATGACACTTCAGTGGCGTGAATAATTTATTAGGTGCAAGAAGGCTGTCAACGTAGTGATATTACAGCAGCCCCGCTTGCCTGGCTAATTATGGAGAATGACAGCGTTCTGTCCTGATGTCACAGCTCTTAGGCGAAGCTGCCAGAGACATGCACTGTGAGTGAGCAGAGAAAGGAAGAAGGGAACCAGGGCCAGGGCCTCACTCCCACCACCACCAAAGACTTTGCGGTCAAGCAAGCTGGGCTTCGAGAATCAGATTTCCACTCACCTCTGCGAAGTGAAACTGTGTGGGGGCCCTTGGGAATGGATCTTGTATCCAGTATCCTGATTTTACATAAAATGTGTGTTAGTTGGGGGAGGAGCAGGCTGTGAAAGTGACTCGGGAAGGAAAAAGGCATTAGAGCTGCAGCTGGCTAGGATGCCTAATGGTTCCCAGGCCTCCAAGAGGAGGTCCAGGCCTTTATAGCAGGCAGGAAGGGGACACCCGCTGTGAGAGAAAAACTGTAGCCCAGCCAGTAGGAGCCTCAGTTAAGCTAAGCTAAACTGCCCGGAGACTCTGGTGCTCTCTCTCTGCCTGAGTGGTGGCCACAGCTCATTTAACCTCCTCCGAGGCCTCAGGTCAAGATGTAATTTATGCACCAAAACCAGCTCCGTAATGAGTGGGAAGATTAACCACCAATCAAAACTTCTGAACACAAAGTTCTGAGTTCTGGGTCCACCATTCCTCCTAAAGTTACCTCCTGATGTTAATGGTCTCAAGTTTATGAATCAGGAAGGAACCAACCCCTGCAAAGGTCTCTGGAAAGTTGGGGACAGGAAAAGGGAAAGAAACCAAATAGGACTGCAAGGAACCACAGCCCTGGCCTAAAATGGAAACAGAAATGAAAATCTCATTAAACTAAAGGAGCTACCACAGTAAGAAATATTTTAAAAATATAAACAGCTGAATAAAAGCAAATTTTTAAAAATTTGTGTGTGTGTGTGTGTGTGTATATATATATATAGATATAGATATATATACGATAGTTAAGATAGTTATACTAATTTCTCTTAGTTCACTGAAAAAGAAAGGTTTGTGCCAGTATTGTTTGGACAATTAAATGCCAATATCTTGTACTCTGAGTAACTAATTTAAAGATAACAATATACTAACCATTGTTACCCTCCTATTGTCTTGTTTTGAAATTTTGTTTTTTATTTTTAAAATAAAAAATTGTCTTTTTTTTAAGTAGTAAAGTTTTAATTGATCTCAGATAAACTACTCAGGAAAGATCAGTATAGTAATTATTTCAGTCCCTAATCACATTTCCTATCCTGAAAAGCCCCAAGGGAAAGGACTAACTGGTTATTTTCACTATTCCACATCAGGTACAGTATTAAAAAAAAAAAACCAAGGCATTATATCAGTCTAGGTTAAATGTGTAGCTAGCAACCAAATCCACTCTCTTTAGCTCGTATTTTTTCCTTTACCTTGTCCACATTGTTAACATAACTTTGGTGACATTTTCCTTTAAGTCCCTTGCAGTGATTCCAGGAACTCATTTGGCCTTAGTCTTGAGGACCATGTCCCAGGCCACTTGTACTTGTATCACCCACAGGGTTTGTTTGGTGGCTACAGATGAAAAATGTCTCACCTGCTACTGGGTTGGCCTGGTGGTGCAAAGCATCTTGGGTAGCCTTGTCACGCAAAGCCTGAGACCTATCACTGTGGCAGCAAGGGTTTCTGGGAGCCTACAGAAGAGGCCAGGAGCAAGAAGCAGTAGCATAAAAGTGGACTGGCCAGATTCTTTAGTTCCTTAAATAATCAATAGGTAATTTTTATTGAATATTAGAAAGGGCACAGTCAGCAAACTGATGGCCCCTGACTGAAAATAATTCAAGGTAGTTGTCTTTACAAACAGATAAATTGCAGAGTTATGAGGGAGGGAGGGAGGGAGGTACTGTGTTAGCTACTTTCCTGTTGCTGTGACAAAATACCTGCAATTTAAAAGAAGAGGGGTTTATTCAGCTCATGGTTACAGAGGGTTCAGTCCATGGTTAGTTGGTTCTGAGGCAGAAACAGCATGGTGGATGGGCATGGCAAAGGAAAGCTGCTCAACTCGTGGCAGCCTAAAAATAGAGAGAAAAGGAAAGAGCAAGAATACATCATTCCAGGCAATGCCTCCAGTGACACACCTCTCCCACCCACCTCAGAACACATATGACTTTTGGGGGACGTTGTAGAGCTAAACCATAACAGGCATGGTGGGCCAGCTATGGAAATGGTAGGTCCACTCTGTCCTGAAAGATAGGAGAGGAAGAAGTTGGCAGAAATTGCCAGGAAAGAGCTTTGTCAAGAGACTGCCAGAAGGAAGCTGTCATCTTTTATGAAAGAACACAGCCAACTCAAGGGAGCCTCCCAAAAGAGGGACCTCAAAGGGAAGAGCCAGGGAATTCATATCCTGACTCACTCCTGTCTCCTGTTAGGGTCCCATTGGCCAGACCCAACTGGATGTCACAGGGTGAGGCAGCCATTGATGCGGCCCCCACCTTGACCCCTGGCATGGAAACGGACAGAGAAAGATCAAGAGTGGATAAGAATAGACAACACATGACAGCCTGCAAGCCAGGCGCTACATCCTGCTGGGAACACAAAACAGACAAATCACCTTGGAGATGCTTATGGACCATCTCTTCCTTTTATATTTCCCCTGCTGAGAGAAAAAAAAAGGATTTATTGTGAAGTGAAAGTCAATTTAAAAAGTCAATAGCAAGTACTTAACATTGTGCTTACAGATGATACTAATTACTTCCCTTCTACCTTCACTTTAAATTATTTCATATTCATTTTAATATCTTTATGCAGTAACACTTAATGATTAAATGTATGCAGTTTACTTCCAACCACCACTATTCAGAACTATAAGAATTTGTTAAATTTATTTTTTTGCCAAAAATATTGTCGATCAATATCACTGGTTCTTAAAATGTAATCTGAGAACCCCTGAGGTTTCCCAAGACCCTCTTTTGGGAGGCTTCCCACCACCCTCAAAACTTCTTAAAAGTGTAAAATAATCTTAGGGCCAAAATGTTTGAAGATGGCTGGTCTAGATTTTGAGAGCAAAAATATTGTGCAATATTGATCTAGATTATGTTGTTGCAGATAATGATCTTTATATCAAGTCTAATAATAATATAGGAGAATCTAGTCTCAAGTTTCGAGAAAGGAGACTGTGTGCTAGCTTTAGACCATATTTTATTCCCCATAAGCTTTGAGCATTTTGCTGATTATTTCTGCCCACTCCATCTTCCAGTGACTTGATGTGGAAGCTTGTGGGTGGGAGACTGCTGGGATAATTTACCTGAGTACATAGGCCTGACTACGGCACCCGGGACACGCTGAAATTCTAACGGTGTTGGCCAAACAAGTTTCCCATTATGCAATAGATGGGATGACTCTGGTAAGAACACAGCCTGTGACTTTTGCTCCCTTGAGGACTGTATCATGGGTGCCAGACACAGACAAAGGACAATGAGGTCCTGCTCTGGCAGTTCAGAGGGAAGTGAGCGAGACCCAGCCATCAGCCCTCAGGCTGAAACATGTTCTGAAGGCGCAGCTTAGGTGCCCATAAACTCAGGCTTGTTATGCTTATCTTCCAGGGACAGGGTGACAGATGCCAGCAAGGGCAGTATGTGCTCTTTCCTCATGTAGCCAGTATTTACTGATGATCCTCACATTCATTAATATAGAGGTTACTGTGCTATGTGTGGCCAACACATAGCTCCTGACATCCAGGAGTTTATAAACTTAGGAGGAAGCAGAAGTGCATTCAGTACCACTGAAGGCAGGTACATGATTGGATCTGTACAGGAGAGCAGTGACCTTCAGGAGGACCATTGAAGGAGGCAGAATTGAACAGAGCTTTCCAGGTCAGCCAGGATCTTTAGGGACAAACATCAGAGGCAGGGGTCAAAGTGATGGTAAAGGCTCAGTGAGAATATGCAGGCAGCAGAAATGGCCTGAGAAGAAAGATAGGTGCAAGAATTGTCACCCAGTAGAGTCCAAAGGCAGCTTGGTGATCAGGTTGTCTGGACAATGAGGACATATAGGTCCCCAAAGATTGAGATGTACCCTGAGTTCTCATTGGCAACACTAAAGCATCTCTAGGTGCAGGACTCTCTTCGCCTGTCCCCGCCCATGTGGGTATCAGCGTTGCCGATACCACTGATACCTTCCAGAACCATGCCGCAGAGTTGAGGGAGGTGACTTGGACTTTACTAAGACCAGTGTTTCTGAAACGCATTCTGAGATAACTGTGCCAACCCATCCTAGCCTTATTAAAATGACGAGGGATGACCCTAAGATCTACTTTAGGCTATTCTTATGCACTTCCTAAATTAGAAAACTGAAAATAAAGAGAGAAGAAGAAAGGTTGGTCAGAGTGGCTCATGAGGAAGTCAACAGATGTAAAGCGGAAAGTAAAAAGTTGCAGTGTGAAAAAGAAGCTCGAGAATGTCAGCCCCAGCAGCACTCCCAGCTATGCTTTGGCTGTGCATTTAGGAGGCCAGGGGCCTGTAACAGAAAGACCCCATGAGTAGAGAAGGGACTTCAAAATCAGGGCCTTGGATCTGCTATCCACATGGATATTAAACATCATAGTTATGGAAAGAGACTGCATCTTGGTTGTATGACCTACCTCACTCTCCGGGACTAATCAGCTAGGCCATGAGCAGAAGCCAGAATTCATCAGCATGCAAGACACAGGGGCCACTGTATCTATGGTGTTGGTAGATACAGCCAAATCGAAGGTCTTCTGATTAGGGCACCAACCTCACTTCATAATAGCGCAGCCCTTCTGACGTGTTCTGAGTTCTGTATTACGTATCTAGAGTTCTAAATCAGGAAACCACGCTGCCTGCACTGTGGATGCTTTTCTGCTTTCTTCTGATGAATTGCATGCTAACAAGAACTGCTTGAAGGCTGAAAGAACAATCAGGCTAGCTTGGCTGATTCTGTTCTCCAAATAAATACTGGCTTCAGAATGCTCATGGTTGGAGAACAGGATGCAGTTCAGTGATGTAGAGAGACCCTTTGTGGTGCTGTTGGAGTTCATACACCCTCCTTTAAAGTACCAAGAATAACCCGTTCCCATAGCACCCATAATAATCTCTGCTTCCGTAACACATACCTCACTTACTTACAATTGTCTTCCTCATCGGACTCCACCAGGCAGGTTGTGTGACTGCCGTGCTTTCTCCTGGGTCTGATGCCCTTACCCCAGTGCCTGGTACCTGAGTTGCACTTGATTATTTGCTGAAATAACAGCTATCATTCATAGTTCAGCATGTTTTCAGTTAGGACTGATATATAAGAGAGGGGAAAACCTCAACTTGGGTTAAACTGTTTCTTCCTTGGAAAGAACTATTTATTCCTACTGTTGACATGGAAGAGCAAAGCAAGTGTCTCATCCTAGGGGATTTCTGACAATTTCTCTCTCGCCAATGTCTGGCCAGCGCAGACCTCACCATTTCCCTGGATGAGGTACCAGGACTCGGCCAAGGTATCTGAACGTTCTGTGCCATCTTGGGACACATGATCCTGTTGAGGGAGTGGTAGCAACCCAAAAGGTACTAAACAGCAACATCAGAGTAGGAGTGGGGACAAGAAATAACCACCCAAGAAGATGTCAGTGACTGCAGCAGGGGCAGTGATGAGGCGGGCAGGATAGAGACCTGTGGACAAGCACCCAGAGAGCTAGGCTCTAGACTGTTCCCTTGCCTCGCTCACACAACGTTAGGCAAATCACTTAACTTCTCTGGGATTTGGAACAGACAAGCCAATAAGACAGTGTTCTAGTCGTGTGGACCTGTGCTGCCTGCATCCTTCTTCACCCCATTACCTGCTCTCTATGGATGCTCTGTGCTAGGGACAGTGGGAGCTCAAAGTCACCCAGGACAGTTCCCCTCTCCAGGAGCTTCCAGCCCAGCCAGGGAAGCTGGCCCTTAGCTCTGCACACTGTGCCTGAAGGAGGCCCCTCACAGGTAGGTGACACAGCTTCCTGCTCCCTGCTCAGAGATTCACTCTGAGTGCAAGGTATTGATGGGGCAGCCCCAGGAAAAACTAAAGACGGCACCTCGGGAGTCACCTCCTGCACCTCTCGGCAGTCCTCTGGCCTGTACCTCAGGACATATACACACCCGCTACCTTCGTACCCAACCCTCAGCAAGATACCTGCCTCCCTGTTACATTTGGAAAACAGCACTACATTTGGAATCACACCTGACTTTGAATTAGTTTTACGATTGTGATCATGCTTTGCAGACCATCAGTATTCTTCTTTTTTCAGTGCTGGGGAAGGAATGCAGGGCCTTCACACTGAGCTTCATCCTTTGCTCTTTATTTTTTATTTTGAAACAAAGTTGCTACATTACCCCGCCTGTACTCAGAGTGCAGGAATTACAGGCACACACCACCTCACCTGGCTGCATCAGTATTCTTATCTTTCTGGTGGGGACACTAGTGGGAGAAGAGATTGTACAGGTTTAAGGGAGCTAATGTACATAGAGAACCTGGCATGTCTCCCTGTCCCTTTTCCATCCTCCTCCCCCTCCATCGCATAACATGTGCAGGGCATTGACATCACACATGGAACAAGAAGGTGGGAAACAGAAAGTCAATTTTTGTCCAGGTGGCAGCCAGACCCTGCTTGTGCCTCCAGATGTGTCCTGGCCAGCCTGCTAGCAAAAGCCCTTTGCTTGTTTCACCCCAGACTCTCCTGCACATCCGTGTTCCTCTCCAGGTCTCCTTCTGCAGTGTGGCAAATGAGGACCCGTGAGGAACTGTGGTACTCTACACAAGAGCCTATTACCAGGTAGTGGGTATCAGGCATCTTTCAAGGAAGCTGGCATGAAATTCGCAAGTGATGGCAGGGAAAGGGGCCGGGACCTGGGAAGATAGGTGCAGACAGGGTATTTACACCAGATCCAGTGAACAGAGGAGGCACCTTGGAAACAGGCATAACCTGTGCAGTTGGAGATAAACCAGGTTGACAAGGGAAATAAAAGGACGACAGGAGAGGAAAGGGTAGTACAGAAAGGCCAAATCCATCTTTCATTCAGTCCACAGCTGTGGAGCTCCTGCTCTGTGCTGGACAGTGGTGTATAACACAGAACAGGTCCCTGCACTGATCTGGAGAAGGAAGGAAAAGGGAGGGTTCAGGAGAAGGAATACAAGTGATTAATATGTACCCATTCCCTGTCCCCCAAAACTGATGCAAACATATATAGATATTCCTTGTTTAACCACCTCCCTGGTTAACAACTGTTCAGACTACCATCCTCAGCAGCAGTGTGGTCTCATAGTGACTTCTTCTACAGTAAATACTGTAATTTTTGCTGATTGTACTATGCAGTACGGTAGAGCACTGTAGCCTTATGTCCTGTTATACACTGCAGTACTGCATGTAAGAGTTACACAAATAAAAGCAACGCCATTGAGTGGGAGTTTCCTTTGACCATTTCTTTGTTTTGAATATTATAGTGTAGGTATGATATTATTCCTCATTTAGAGACCAATTCAAACACCTAGTCCCAGGAACTGAACTCGGTCATTAAATGGTGAGTGTCTGTACTAAAACAAAAACTGAAATGGCCCCTGCCCTAAGAGCTCATCATCTAGTGAAAGAGACAAGAATCAAGAGGCACATAAAGTCACTGCAATTCACATCTGGTCCTTGGGGAGGCGGAGGTGTTGCGGGGAGCAGGTGTGGGGAAGTGTGGTGGGAAGAGAGCACTGAGAAGTGGGGGAGCCCTGAGTGAGGAAGGGTGGAGCAACCCTTGGCCAGCCCTGGAGGGGAGGGGCATAAGAAGGGCTGGAGGGAGGAGGAGAGAAGGATCCGCTCATCATCCCAGCCATAAGCATCACAAGGACGGGTTCACTGTGCTCCAAACAGAGAGCTGTGCAGGGCTGTAGGCAGGAGCAGAGCCACAGGACAGTTTATATTGTCCAGACAAGACAGCATGCCCATAACTTGTACCCTGAATAACTATGATGAAGACAGCACTAAGCAATGTATTCATTATCATAACTTTCCCACTAACCTGTTTTGAAATTCTGTTTTATGGTTATGTTTTTTCTCTTTAAAACAAGAAAAGATGTGGGGGCACACACCTGTAATCTTAGCACTTGGAAGCCTAAGGCAGGAGGATCATTGTGAGTTCAAGACCAGCCTCGGCTACAAAGTGAGTTCAAGTTCAGCCTGAACTGCATAGTGAGACCCTGTCTCAAAAAGACAAAGTGCGCATGCACACACACACACAAATTAAATTAAATTAAATTAAATTAAATTAAATTTTAAAAGAGGCCAGGCATGGTGACACATACCTGTAATCCCAGCACTCAGGAGGCTGAGGCAGGAGGATCACCAGCCCGAGCTACAAAGTGTACTCAAGGGCAGCCTGAACTACATAGCTAGACCCTATCTCAAAAAGACAAAATAAAATAAAATAAAATAGAAAAATTACTCTCTGCACTGTGGACACGTTGTGATCTGCTATTACATAAGAAACTTCGCGGTTTAAAATGACTCCCATTTAGTACAGTTTCTGAGGGTCAGGAGCCCAGGTACGGCTTAGCTGTGTCCTCTGAAGAGTGAGCAGCAAACAGTAGAGTCACACAGCCCACATTTTGCAGGTCCCAAAGCCAGTTTTTAACATATGCATCTAAAGTCGACTGAACTGTCATCTTGAACACAGCACATAACATCTCTTGAGCCTTGATTCCCCCATCTGTAAAGCAGGAATAATACTATCTACTGCAAGGTTATAATCGTAAATGACACAATACTTGTCAAGTGCCTGCTTTGGAGCCTAGCATATAACAAGATAGTGAAGCTAGGTGTGGTGGTGTACACCTGTAATCTCAGCACTCTGAAAGGATGAGGCAGGAATATCACAGGTTGGAGCCCAGCCTGGGCGACTTAGCAACTTAGCAAGAAGCTAAGTCTCAAACCCTGTCTCAGAATAAAAATAAATAAATAAACAAATAGGGCTGAAGCTGTAGCTCAATGTGAAAGCCCTGGATTCAACCCCCAGGTACTGAAAAGAAGAAGGAAGAGAAAGAGATGGCTAGGAAATACAGTGCTCAGCACCAGGATTGATCCCAGCCAGCCCAACTGGCTGGAGACTTGGGTACTGACCAGAATATCAACACTGAGGACACAGAAGATTGCCCGGCACCTGGACGTCATAGCATGTGGCACGCACATTTTCTCTCGGGAAGGAATGTCTCCATGGAAAGACTGAGTGCCGTCAGAAGCTTTCGTAAACTGGAAGACAGCGGGAGGGGGGCTCCGTGAACAGCTGTAGCGAAGGACTGTGTTGTGCAGATGCTGCCCAGGCCACCCCGTGGGGTCTGGGCAGAGACGGGGTGACCAGTGCCGGCTCCTGGGCGTCCTTGGTAGGCATCCAGCCGAGCCTTCCCCTGCGGTGTGTGTAGGAAGGCTACGAAGTTATGATTCAGTTGTGGTTTTGGCTGCGTGGATTCCAGGCCTGAGGGTGTGCCCTGCCCTACAATGAGATGTGGGTGTTCCCCAGTTGTCACGGTCTCCCAGGGTGTCCCTTTGGGCCCCTATCTAAGCTCCCCTACGCATACTACTGCCCTTGCTAACTGACTGAGTCTCAAGTTCGGGAAGGGAGGACGTAATCTGCGGCCCACTTCTATTTCACACCTTCTGCATAGTTTCTTTGACAGGGTGTCCTTACAAGGCAGGAAACTGAGGCCGGAGTGATTCCCTAGCTAAGGATGGAAGCTCTGGGTTCTTGTAGATTCCCAGTCAAATAACACGATTTCCTTTCCAAATGCCCTTTGTACGGGATGCTTTTGTCTGGCAAGCAGACCCATAATTGAAATTCACCAAAACAAAAAATTAAAGAACAAGCCCCTCTCTCCCATTGTGAGCGCTCTGTCCAAAGGAACCCTCGCAGAGGCCAGCGCAGAGCGCGCCGCTCTCCCGCGGGGCTTCGCTGCACAACTCCTGCCCAGCTCCAACTTGGCTCGCTCGCTCCCGCCGCCCTCATTGTTTCCGCCGCTCCGCTGGAGACCCCGGGGAGCCGGCTCCGCTCCCGCCTCCCCGCCTCCCCTCCGTGCGCGCTACCTCGGC